TGTAATGATTCTCGTTTCGGCGAGAATGTATACAAAGTGTTGGACTTTTAAAAATATTTCATGTTTTGAAAGTGTTTGTTTGTTTTGAAAGTGTTTGGTGTATTTGTTTTGAAAGTGAGAAGCAACTGAGGACGTTTCTACCTACTCAAAAGTATTTTTTGTTCGTTTCTCTCTTCCTTTGATATTGCTATCTTACCATTGATTGGTAAGAAGCCTTATCTTTAGATGTAAAGGGACGGGTGTGGGTCATCGTATAACCATGATAAAAATGTTGTGAGATATCTTAGCATTTTTCTTTGAGGGACTAAGATCATTTGTATGGCAACATTTGTAGCGTTATCGAGGGACTATGATCTTGTATTTTTTATTTGTTTTTGCTAAGACATTCCACATGCATAACATGACCATTTTTTAGGCAACAAGTGAAGTTAACCTTAAGGGTGCATGTGTGAATAGTGTGTTTGATTTGCATGCATTTAATCTTTGATTAGGGTTATCTACTTGTTAATTTTTATCTTTCCATACAAACCCTAATTACTAGCATTTATATGAAAGCGATAAATTGCGTAAAGTAAATTTACTACGCTATTACATCATTTGGGGATGAGGTATACAAATTTACAAATGGGGATTGCATGAAATAAAACCTAATTATCTATTACAACCCTATTAAAATAATGTACAAGAATTGAAAGGAATATAATGTACAAAGATATAAATGGAAAAGAAATGATTTTTTTTTTGTTTTTTGAGGAAAATGGTTTTAACCTAATTATCTAAAAGGAAATAATTAATTAAAATAAGTAAAATTAAACCTAAAATAACTAAGAAAAGAAATTAAGTTTAATCAAGAAAATATTTTTAGAGTTTTTTTATGAAAAAAGGTTTTTTATTTAATTAAACTAAAATAAAAATTAATTAAAAGAAAAAAACTAAATTCTAAGTTAATTTAATTAAAGGAAATAATTAACCTAAATCTAATTATTAATTTATTAGGAAAAAGAATTAAATTTGTTTAAGAAAATATTTTTGTCTTTTTAGTTTATAAAGAAAATAAAAATAAGTATATTAAAGTATAAGTAATAAATAATTTTTTTTTGTCTTTTTTATTACTGAAATAATATTTATAATAGTATTAATAATAATAATAATATAGAAATAATGAAAAGAAAATGAATTAAATAAATAAAAATAAAAAATTAAGTAGGGGGGGGGGGTTGAAATGGAATTTGAGAGTTTGTTAGAAAAAATAGTTTTCAGTTTGAAACCTGGCCCATTAGTATTTTTTGATCAGCAAAAGAAAATAAAAAAAAAATAAAGGGGCCTGCTGGAACAAGCAAGATGGGGGTATGATGAAGTGAAAATGGGGAGGCCCAGTGGTGGAGGCCCAAGGCGCGTTGGCTTGAAACAAAGAAGAGAAAATGTTGGAAAAAAACAAAAAGTGGCAGCGCTGGGGCTTGAACCCACGCCCTTGATATGATACGCGCGCTGCCTTACCACTGGGGTGGCTATACATCTGTTAACTTAACAAAAACATAAATATATAACACAAATCCAGTCCTAGAAATAACTTCATATTCAACCTCTAGCAAGGGTCCCTGTAACTCATTCATTTCTCATCCATTCTCAAAACTTCCAACATCAAACTTGTTAGAAATTTTACCAGGATTCCAGAAATCTAAATAATTTAGACTAATAATCAAAGATGACCATGTATTTCTAAAAGTACCAAATCCTGACCTAACTTTTTTTCAGAGATTCAAACTTAAAATTCTCTAAGCTCAGGCCATATAAATGAAAACTATGGATATGTACAGCTTCAGGGCAATGATATCTACATTTTTACTTCAGAATGTACGCACAAAAAATGCTTGTATCAAGATATTGAAGTTTGAAAACTTACCTCTTGCAGCTGGGTTCATGTATGGAGTTTGAGCAAAATTTGAGATGGCTTGATGATCTCTTTAGCTTGCCTGGACCTCCTTGAGTGTGTTTCAACTCCTACTTTGCTTTGAGGATGGCTGAAACTATCTACTCAAGTCAAGTTACAAGCGTGCATTTTGAAAATGGTGAATGGTGTAAAGGGAGTTACAGTCCAGAAATAAGGCCCGGAATCACTTTGATATGATGTATATTAAGTGTTTGGATGGTTAAAACTCAATACACACGAGTGGATTTGGAGATGGCTATGTGAAGCTCAAAACTGTCAAGTTATGGAAAATTTTGAGTTGCAGAATGCTTGAGAGTGTTTTAGGATGCTTGAGCTCGTGTGTTATGTTGCAATTGACTTGTGCATATGTATGGAAAAGGTCAGAGATCAATTGCACTCAAGGTTTTTGAGTTCTAGCCTTTTGACTCTATAACTTGCTTTTGAAGAAAAGTGAGAAGACAAGTCTCAAAGTGTTGTACAAGCATGGTCTGAATTGGTAGAGGCCTTAGACATGTTGCTTTTGGTTTTGACTCTACTTGTGTGCATATAAAACAATTGAGAGGCTCAAGAAGTTGACAATTGCAAAAGTAATGCTTTATCAAAATGAAAATTGCAACTTTGTGCCAAAACTGGAAAATCATTTTGGAAAAAGCTTCAAACACATGGATAAGGGCCTAAACAGTTGTGTAAACCATTAATTATGGAGTGAAAAACAAGTTTGAGGCTTGAAAAGTGAGGATTATGCAGCATGGCTATGGATTGGATCAAATGTTCATCATGAAAATGACTTGAAAAACAAGTTTGAAACCCTAACTTCTTGCCTTCGATTCTCTTAGATCAAGTATGATCTCAATGAGTTCTTGGACATTTTGAAAATCTTGTAACATCCTCTACAACCTTCATGTTAGACATTTTTAAAGATTCAATTTAGAACTAGGTGAAAAGTTTCCATGAAGTTAGGTCAAAATTCTGACTAACTAGGGCAAAATTTCACTAAGTCTTTTAGTTTCATGGACATGTCTTCATAAATTCATAACTTGAAATCCAAGCATTTCTAGAAAAAGTTCTGCCCTACAATATTTTAGATCTCATTGAGATCTCCAACTTTCATGTTTGAAGTTTCTCTTGAATCATCTTGCATCATGGTGGAAATTTGGCCAAAATTATGAAAAAATGTGAACTTTCTAACACTTGGAAAAAATTCCAAGTCTTAGAATTTTGACTTTTCAAAGATAATTTTGACTTTTCAATTTCTTGATGAACAAGTTTCATATTTTGACATGTCTTGATGAAATATGATTTTTGAAACTTGATTTTGATCAAAAAGTCAAAGTTTGACTTTTCAGTGTACAATTGACTTTTCATCAGTTGACTAAAATTCATCTGTCAATCCAATAATCTTGAGATATGATTTGAGCTATGAAATTAGGTCAAGATGGTGAATTTGAATCCTTGAGATCATGTCTTGAACCAATAAGTCATTTTCTTGGTCAAAAGTCAAGAACTGAGCCTTCTCAATCAAAATCCTAATTTTGACCATTTTGCCATTTTGGTGTTCTGATCAAATTTCTTTGAGGAATTATGATCCAACTTGATCAATTGACATATATGAGTTCATGATATTGATATGAATCCAAAATCTTGAAGTTTAACTGTGGGTTGACCATAATTGACTTTTTATCCAATATAGATGATTTTAGGTCATCTGATCAAATGACTGAGCAATTTTGTGATCCAAAGCTTGAAACTTGACATGAGCAATCTCGAGGGTTCCTAATGATCCATAAAAGTCATTTGAGGCCTTGACAGTCCAATTGTCTGTGTGAAAACCCAAACCCTAATTTTGAGTTGTCTATGTTGAAGAGGTGTCTTGAGCTGATCAAACCTTGTGTAGTCTTGAATCAATGGAGATCTTATGAGAGATTTTTTGAGAAATGAGAAGGCAAATTTTGGGGTACAACAGGTGGGAACCGAAAATATACATACGATATAAACTCAAAATATATTTCTGATTTGTATCACGACGTAAGGCACACTGCCTCTTCCTCTCCCTTTACAATATCAGTTTCAAAAATATAATAACCATAACATTTCTCTCCCGATCCCCCATTGTTACAAAATCAAATTAGCTCCAAAAAATTGTTCACAAATCGTCTAACATCAATTAACTAAGATGTTCAACCACAATCAATCAAGAAAAATCAACAATTGTAAGTGTTTTTTTTGTGGTTTTTAGATTTTATAGAATTTCTACTCAAATTAGTGATTTAGGTTTCAAATTGTAATTTTGTAGTGTGTTGTTATTATTATTAGGAGTCATTATAAACGTGTTAGCAACGGAGGAACACCGAGAGGGGGATGGGCCGACTCATAGTCCGCCATATTCAATAGTCTTTTCTGTTGTATATGTATTTTGGTTATTATTTTTTTATTGTATTTGAATAATATTTTGGGTTATCTTATATTGACTATGAACACCTTTTGTACTGTTTACTGATATATATTTATGTCTTTGTTCTATATGTCTTTGTAGTATATTTTGATGTATGCGTCTTTGTATTCAATGTGAAACAACGCGTAAAAAAGACCCACTATCAGCAAAATTTATTTTGGTTCTGTCATCACAGTAATCGAAAATACATTTTCAGTTTGTTTCGAAAATATATTTCTGATTTCTAATCAATATTCAATAGAAAATGGTGCACACTAAAAATATATTTTCGATTTTCATGAGCAGTTTAAGAAATGCATAAAATATTTCTTTTGACGGTAGAGTAGAAATAGAAATTGTCTAAAAAAAAGTTTGAATAGAAGGCCTTCTAAATGCTTTACAACTCAATCTAATTTACATTCGAGTCCTTGAATTTATTTTTAAATAAAAAACACTAGTAGTTTATGCATTTCTTTGAGCCGAAGCAAAACAAATAAAAGAAAAAAGAAAAAGAAAAAGTACCAAAAGAAAGTTAATATAAATAGTAAAATTAAAAATATAAAAGCACAACGACCTCAAAACAGAAGAGAGTTCCAATTGTTTCTTTCTTTGTTTCGGAGTTTTCTCGCTTCAATCGCCATGGCTGCTCTGCAATACTTGGAATCCCTTCGAACTTCCCACCCTGAACTCGGCGAATGGTACAATTCTCTTGCGGATCTGTACCAGAACAAGCTATGGCATCAGCTTACTCTCAAGCTCGAACAGTTCGTCGCTCTTGCCGTTTTTCAGGTACCACTCTTCACTTTCTTCTCCCAATAATCTTTCTTTACACTCTCAATTGCACCAATACTTAGACTCTATGCTTTATCCTTTTGATTTCGCCGTTTGTTAAGATTAGGGTTTCTGTTTTTTTGTTGTTTCTGTGTTGGAGTTTATTTGGGAGTTTAGTTGAGACGGTTGACGACTGGGATGCTATTAGGGTTTGGGTTTTTGTGTTGTGATTGGAATTGTGGTAAAGGTGGAGACTTTTTTAGTGGGTGAGTTTAGGTTTTTTGTTTTGGATCCGAGAATGTTAGGTAGGTTATTAGGGTTTGTTGTTGATTGAATTGTTTATGGAATTGAATACTGGTTGTTGGGGGTATTTGGAATTAGGGTTTTGTTGGAACCTGATTGGGATTTTTTTTTTTGCTTTGGATTTGGATTTTTTTTTTATGTGGGGAGGGATTTGAATGGTGTATGAAATTTTTAGCGTCCTTTTGTTGTTTATATCTTTGCTTTTGACATTACTCAAGCATTGTAGTGTTTTGCTTTGAAGCTCATAATTTATACATAAAGCTTCATCCTTACTATATTATTATGGATTGGGATATGGTAAGCCTTTTTGAAAATGTGATTGATAAGTTATTAAGTTAGAGGCAATTAATGATCAAAGTTCACTAAATATGTTTTGTTTTAACAACATCAAGCTAGCGTTGTATTTTCTTAAAAATGTTTTGAGTGATCAAATGTATCGAAATCTGGTTTTGAAATTTCTCCGTTTGTTGGGTGGGTTTAATTTGAATGAGGATCTTTGTCACAAACGGTTATATTTCTGCTTTCTGAAGCAACCTGGTCAGTGAGATCAAGATAATTTCATACTTCTACAAGCTGTATTGATTGTTTTAGTGATAGCATTTGTGGTCTGGTTCATTATTCAGTTTTAGTGATTGTTTTACTAATGCTGTTGCTCATCTACTGTCTACTGTTTTTTAATGCCATCAATGATGTTACACAATTTGTGCAGTGTTAATTCTGTTTTGCTTCTATTATCATTTTTTATGACTTAGTTTGATAATTTATTCTGCAGTGCTTGTTCTTATCGTGGTTTACTATTTATTTGCTTGACCAATTATGATTACTTTGAATTTTCAGGCCGGCGATGCTCTGATACAATTATACAACAATTTCATCACAGACTTTGAGACCAAGATCAACCTTCTCAAGCTTGCACATTTTGCTGTGATGGTTTCTCGACAGTATTCTGAGAAAGAAGCTGCTGTTGCTTATCTTGAAGGGGTCATTGAGAAACTGCAAGCAACTAGAGAGCAGCGGATTGAAGAGCCCATCCTATACATAAAGATGCAAATTGCCTTATTTAAGCTTGAGCAAGGTGACCAAAAAGAATGTAAGAATCTTCTTGAAAATGGAAAGAGTACACTTGACAGCATGACAGATATTGATCCAACTGTGTATGCAAGCTATTATTGGGTATCTTCTCAATATCACAAGTCCCGCCAGGAATTTGCTGAGTTCTACAAAAATGCTCTTCTCTATTTGGCATACACATCAGTGGAGTCTCTCTCTGATTCATTCAAGCTGGTATGTTGTCAAATGTTCTTGTTGATTTATTTATTCCTTTTTTGTTGTCTCAAATCATGGCTATTAGCTTAAACTTTGCCCTGGATACATTTACTTTTGTCTCTTTGTGATTCTTAAAGTATGGCTGTGAAGGGAGACTGTAAGTAAGAGTGTAGGAAAGTTGTTTCATGTTGTGAATATGAGGAAAATATTGTAGGTAGGGCAATTCCACTCTTGATTGGGGAAAATGGCTGCACAACTTCTGTAGAAAGTCATCAGATGTTATGTAATTGCTGGTATCAAGTAGTAAAAATAGGTCGTCTCACTGTTACTGTAATTTTTTTTAAAACAAAGTTAAATTATTGAGATGTTATTACATCTTTTCTATGTAAAAAAATATATGGGAGAAAGGATGAAGGATCGGAAGATGATATAATAATGTGATGGATGGATAATAACTGTTATTTCCGAAGCGTAGAACTCAGGCTCTTGGGTAATTATCATAAGGGGATAGTGACCAATCAGTGTATCTAACTGTAGGTTGTAGGCGTGTTTTTCTTCTCAAAATTAACTATGATGGAATAACTAGCGTATAATATGACACAAGAGCATGTGTTACCCAGTTGCTAAACAGTCATTTGTTGGGGATGATCTCCCTTTTACTTTGGATTTTAGAATTGGGTTCTTTTTACATCAGGGGGACTAAGGGGATGGTGTAGCTAAGTTATAGTACCATAACATAGAGTTAAATAATTGTCTTATTCTAGTTAGTACATATAGGTAGAGGTTACAGGAGATATCATACTAGTCTATTATGGTTTCTTTTCTATTTATCTACAGATATGATATTATTTAATGCACAGTTTTTTGTTATCTGTTAGGATTTGGCATTTGACCTGTCCCTTTCTGCTCTGTTGGGGGATAACATATACAACTTTGGAGAGCTACTTGCCCATCCTATTGTGAGTATTTACAGATGTTTTTTGCAATGTATACTTTTTAAATTTCCGTGCTCTAGTCATCTGTTTGAGTTACAATGTTGGATAACACAATTTATTATACCTTCCACAGATTAAGAGCCTCCTAGGGACAAAGGTGGAATGGCTCTACTACATTCTGCAGGCATTCAATTCTGGTGATTTGGTTCGATATCAAGAATTATGTCAGGTGCATAATGCTGCTTTAAGGGCTCAACCGGCACTTGTTCAAAACGAACAGAAGCTGTTGGAAAAGATCAACATTCTCTGTCTGATGGAAATTATATTCAGGTATACATTCATCGAATATATTGTTGAAATTGTCACATTCGGGGATGAATTTGAAACTGTTATGTTCCATTTCTAACTCAAAGCTGATTGTGTTTATTTCCAGCCGGCCTTCGGAAGACCGCACTATTCCCTTGAGTGCAATTGCAGAGCGTACAAAGCTTTCAATAGAGGATGTGGAGCATCTCCTTATGAAGAGCCTATCTGTAAGTTCAACTGGAAGTTCTCGCAAGTTGCTGTTTTTTAAATTTTTATATATTTTTCTTTATAACCATAAAAAAGTTGGACAATTTCAACTTATGGGTTTGGGTAAATGTGAAACTTTCTTTGATTCTGTTTGACTATTCTTGTTTAAACGCTTCATTTTGGTGTATATGATATTTTAAGATGGGTTGATGTTTATAGATTTTTTATGATGCTTCATTTTGGTTCATATAATTTTTAAGATTCGTTAATCTTGTTATTGCAGGTTCATTTGATCGAGGGTATTATTGATCAAGTGGAGGGCACAGTACATGTTTCTTGGGTGCAACCAAGAGTTCTTGGTATTCAACAGATAAAATCCTTAAGGGATCGACTGGATAGTTGGACAGGAAAAGTACACACAGCGTTGTTGTCCATCGAGGCCGAGACACCTGATTTAATTGGATCATGAAAATTTTCTGTTTGTTTTCTGCCAGTTGTAACAATTTCTTATGTTAAAGGGAAAACATCCTGAGGCAACAAAAGACGAAGAGACTTCCGAGTTACATGGGCATATAGCCAACTTATGTGCTTCATTTCGTTTTGTCTACCCCTTGTACTTGGCTTAGAAATTATTGTTTCTAAATGGTTGCATGCTTAGAGACATGTTGCATCAGTTCAAAACAGGCTGTTTTTACATCTTAGAGTGATGATCAAACTATGTACCTGAAAATTTTCTTTAGATACGGCCATTTTTATTTACTTTAGAAGTTCTTTTCATTTAATTGAGCCAAGTGATTATTTTCTGTTGCCTGAATCTTCTCATAGATCAGTTTCTACTAGTTTTACTGTGTTATAAATCTTCTGTTATGTCGTAACAGTGTTGAAATGAGGTACTAATTACCAATTGAGACAACAAGGTATTTAGGTCGAGGGTGTTTTGACGCAGTATTTTTGCAGGCTTGGAATTATTTCAATGATGACCAGATAGATATCCATGTTTATTCGTAATTTTGGAGTGTTTGAAAAAAAAAACTACATTTTCAAGTAACAAACAAGGATCAATAGATTGAGTCATTATTAGTGCAAAAGATTTACAAGTTCACAAAGGTCATGCAGCAAAAATAATTTGGATTATTTGACCAAAAAAGAAGGTAATAGTTACTTTGGGGTGGCAAAACATGAGTCAATAGTTTGTTAGTCATTATAGATGCAATTTAGATGGAACCATTTCAACAATATTCTTATTATGACATTGAATTGTATGTGAGATGATCAAATATTGTTTTGTGATGTCAAAGAAAGATTGGTGTCATACTGATATGCATATTAAATAAGTGGAGTATGAAGTTTGAGAACTTGTATATTAGTCTCCAAATAAAATATAATACTCATGCTTTAGCAAAATTACCTATATCTTATGGAATTATGGTACTTCCATTTCTGAATTTGTTTCATAATAATGAATAGTTTGGTTTGCAAACTCTAGTTTGAAGGTAAAGAATAATGATGATAATTTACAAGAAAATGATTGGAATTTCTCTTTGGTTCCCATTTTATGCACTAAGTAGTTGTACATATGATATAGTGTTGGGTGTGAACAGAATATATAGATGGTTACAACTAATGCCTTAGGTTTTGTACGAGAACTGAGAAGTTTCTTTAATGTGTCACATGGCCACTTCAGAATTTAGCAATATCAATAATATTAAAGAGTACAGAGGTGCTCAAAGGACAGACACACTGGGGAATGTCACGTGATACACACATGCAAACTACTATCTTATGAAATTCATTGGATCCTTCAACGCCAGGGCTTATGGTAAATTACAAAAGAATATGTTTAGACCAAAACAAATGCTTCTAGAAAAAATGTAAGCAATTTTTTTATCCGATTATGTTAATTTTTTTACCGAAGAATATAAATAGTACGGGTATTTGCATTATAAATGAAAATTGCGTAAAAGAAATATGTTATGTTACTTACTAGTACTGTATCTCAGTTGCTAGTTGAGGGTTAATAGAAACCCAGATAATATTTACTAAATTGTACTATGTATCCAGAACCATAAAATTCAAAAAACTTGATAATAGCCTGAATGATGTGACATTTGCATTTATTCTGAATATTTTAGAAACCTACCATGTTTAAAAAATATATAAAAAAATGTTTGACAAACATATTAATAATTGTGATTTGTGGATACTATAAAATAATTGTGTATGTAGATTAAAGTCTATCAAACTAAAGGAAAATTGAAGGTTGATAAATATATATTTGATACATTAAAATTTGCAATTAAAATGTTAAAAATAAATTTATTCAAATAAGAAGGAAAATAAAATCAAATAGACTTTTAATAAATCTAATCAAATAGTCTTTTAATAAATCTTGGGTAGTGTAGGGTTTTTGGTCGGGATTGAATGATTATTTTGGACTTATTAAAAATTGAATCCGACTAAATCTAAATAATATTTATTTTATCTATGTTTATTACTAAAAGATTGATCTATTATAAAAATGGAATTCATAACGTTGTTAGTATATTGATGACATTGTGTGCTCACAAGAAATATGAAATTTTGAGTGTTATTTAATTTGTGATTTAAAATATTATTATCAAATTAATTTCTAATGATATTGAATTATTATAAAATTTTGATAGTTTTTTTCAAAAAATAAAATAAAAAAATCAATGTCTATCAATTTTGTAAATAATGGGTTTTTTTTTATAGATTTAATTCAATAAATATTAAACCGATAAAATCTATCTGATTTATTGGCTAAACTGATTTAATCGAATCCATTAAAAATTAAGGGTGTATTTGTTTCAAGGATTCGAAAGAGATTCCAATGAATAAACTATCCAGAAATAAAAATAAAGAAATTTAATTTCCGAGTATTTTTATAACAATGTGTTTAATATATATTATTTGATATTTCTAAAAAAATTAATAGTTATATTTTTTAATTAACAAATTATATGAAATTTCATGAGAAGTTATTTTATTCCTGAAAATTTTATATCTAAGAAAAAATTTTCTTCAACCACTTAACAGATATGAATATAATCATTTTCTAAAAATTATTCTTTAAAACTTAATTCTTAAACTTGAAATAAACACCCACTAAAATTTTATTGATCAAAATTGAATTTTTAAAATAAAATTATAATTTGCGTTGAATTTAAATTTTAGATCCGATATTAATGAAAACCTACCATTGTGAAGCCCTATGTGAGAGTGGGACACAAGGTAAATTAGGTCTTCAATGTGCTAGTTATTTTTCGTACAAACACTTAAAAGTGCTAGTTAATAATGTAGAAGAACCTCGTGGTACATGTGTACTAGGGATTCCTTGTACTACTTGTGTTATCGCACCATGTCCTATGAATCTATTATGTGATTTTCATGGCAAAGAATCTCAGTGAAGCAAAATATCTCCTCATTCACTCAAACATAAATAATGCTTACGTTTTCTCACACATTTCAGTGCCCTTTGCCTTACCAAAATCAACAAACTATTTCTATCATGTTGTTGTAAATATTTGAAGAAGAATAATTCAAATGTATTTTAATAAGTTATTAGAAGTTGATTGGAGGGTTTTGCTTCTCAAAGGTAAAATAAATTGTATTTTGGGATGGTAATCAGTTATAGCATAATGTATTTTATGTATTTTTAGTTGTGATAACCGGTTATAGTGTTTACGTAATCGGTTACCAATTTATGTTTTTGGGTTTTTAGCTTATTTTTTTTATGTTTTTGGATTGCAATAGTTGTAGCTTATTTGTATAAATACCTTTGGTGGTATAGTGTATAAAGTTAATGAAATTTTCTCTTTTCATCCTCAATTACTCTCTCATTCTAATTCTCTTATTTTTTCACTAACTCTTCTGACAAGTTTTTTCCTTTAGAGACCATGACGCATTACAAACGAATGGTATGATAATTGGGCTGTCATAGATCAAAATTCCAGCTGAGATTTGTGAAGAGCGTATGCAAGGGAAGCAACATAAGAACGAATTCAACAAGGATGCAGGTCATAGGACCAAGCATCACCTTGAGGTGGTGTACTCCAATGTGTGTGAGTCAATGCAAGTTAATTCGTATGGTGGCGATAGATATTTTGTCACTTTTATCGATGATTTTAGTAGAAAGCTATGGACATACCTAATCAAGATAAAAGATGACGTATTTGATGTGTTTAAGAAGTTTAAGTCCATCGTTGAGCGACAAAGCAGTCACAAACTCTCAAATTTCAAAACGAATGGTGGAGGCAAATATGTCTCAAATGATTTTGCGAAATATTGTAATGAAGAGGGGATTGTGCATGAGATTGTATCATCCTATACACCGCAGCAAAACGATATTGTTGAGAGGAAAAATCGATCGATCATGAACATGGTGATAAACATGTTAAAAGGGAAAAAGTTGTCAAAAGAGTTATGGGGAGAAGTTGTTTCCACAACTGCTTATTTGTTGAATGCCTTACAAAAAAGCTTGAGAAAGTAACTCCAGAAGATGTATCGTCTGGATTTAAACCAAACTTAAGGCATTTGAAAGTTTTCAGTTTGATAGCATATCGACATGTTCTGGGTCAACTTCGAATGAAATTGGATGACAAGGGTGAGGTGATGTTACTTGTTGGTTATCATCTTATTGGAGGTTATAAGTTGTTTGATGTTGCAAACAAGAAGACCGTGATCAGTCGGGATGTCGTGGTTGGTGAACTGAAGCGTGTCGAGCTATCTGGAACTACTGTTACAAGCCCTGTAATAAGTTACCAGAATGTTGTAACCGGTTAGAAGTACGATTTTCTGGATTCTACATAAGCTGGAACTGGTTTGACAGGTGCTATAAACGGTTACCCAAATCCTATAACCGGTTACAGGCACAATTTTTTGACTTCCCAGGTTGTTGGAAGTTCAGATCAACAATTTTTTGAAATCGAAACGTGTGAAAATGTTAGACGACCAATTAGGCAAAGAGGTTTGCCTCATAGACTTCAAGATTGTGAAGTATTCCGGGATAACGAGATCATTGATGATGGTGATTTCGTTCACTTTGCACATATGATCGAATCTGAGCCTGTTAACACGGAAGATACATTAAGTGATCTAAAATGGGTGTGTTCAATGAAAGAGGGGTTGCAATCGATTGAAAAAAACATTACTTGGGAGTTGGTCGGTTTACCGAAAGGTAAGAAATCAATTGGTGTGAGACGAGTCTATAAAGTGAAGGAAAATCCCAAAGGAGAGATAATCAAGCATAAGACTCGATTTTTGCGAAGAAATTTTTGCAAAGAGTAGGTATAGACTTCGATGAGGTGTTTGCACCAGTTGCTAGACTTGAAACCATACGGTTGATTGTTGGTATTGCGAATAACAAAAATTGGTTGATCTATCAAATGAATGTAAAATTTGCGTTTTTGAATGGTCCGCTTGAAGAAGAGGTATATGTAGAACAACCCA